TTCTTCGGGCATAACTTGTATTCCCAACGAGCGGCTCTTACTGTTATAGGATAGCCTGGCAGGATGAGCAGGGTGTCAGCGTCAAGGGAGATTACCACAGAAGGTCTTTGACTTACCGAGAGGAAGTCGTAACCCTCCCCGGCGCTTTTCTACCATCATAATCCGAGACACGAATAGGCCGTCACTTGGGATGATAAACCCTTTACCTACCTTAGATTCTCAGGAATACGATGTTTCTCTGGCAACCTCTAATTCCTCCGTCATAAATGAATGAGCGATTCTGGCAAGAAGCAAACGGGCAGACTACTCTTCACTGTTAACATCAGCCGCGAGCTCCTGCCTGCTAATCCAAGGACCTTGGTTGTTCCAGAACTTCAAGGGAGCATTCTAGCAGCAGTGGGCAAAAAGGCGACTAGCACTCAGGTCTGTTCTCTTTCAACTCATCGGTCTTTGTGCTTAGAGTGGGACTCTTTTGTCATCACTGAACTTAGGTCTTCTGGGCTGAGTTCATGCTGCGCTCCGCGATTGTGGGCAATAATGTGAGTTTACTCACAGACAACAGCTCTGAGACATTAGTACTTCCGTTACTGGCAGGTGCGCCAGTCGCACCATAGACGCATATAATTCAGTCAATCTTTTCACCCCACCCCGTGGCATAGAGTATACTGGCGACGGCACAGTGTAGCTGAAGTAATAGTGAAGGCAAAGGCTAGCGTCCGTCATGGCCTGTGAGATTGACAACCCCACTCGCTGGAAGATCAGTGAAAGGCACAATGTGTGCTGTCTCCAGGTCTGCAGCCACTTCATCCGATCCTTTTCTTGACACGAGCCTTTAGAGTTTGGCTGTCCGCGAGGATAGTCTTGATGTCGACATCATCATACTCGGTACGATTCACTGATCACATGAGCATCTCAATCGAGCATCTGGGTATACCAACAGTCCATGCAGCGCGCCATACTTTGTATTGGGAGTGACTCGAACATCTCCTGGCTAGAAATAGGTCTTTGAGTGAAGGAGATCGCGGGGCTGCCGAGGACGTGTTCTGCATATCTATGATTGAGAAGGAATAGATTGGACCGTCCGCTGGATATGTTGTGCTACTTGATGGGGGGCACTTGTCCTCCTCGCCCGCATAACTGTCTGTGATATTGTACGACGGAAAGAAGTACTCATGAGCCGCTTCATATACATTTGGTACTCCTCAAGTCCTGGAGAATCGGACACTGGCATCAGAGTTAGCTAAGCCCACGGCATATCGTTCAAGGTGTAGGATCTTACCTCGGGTTGCTGTAAATTGACATTGTTCTTATGGTAGTAGTATATCCCAAAGATACATTCCTCGGAGGTATTGAGTGTCCAGTATCAATGGCTCGATGATCTTCCAGCATAATAACATGCGCATGCTTGTGGCTCTGGCAATTTGAGCTATGACTTGTAGCCAATGAGTAGTTAGGTGTTGCCAATCGGAGATATCTGGTCGCCAGACATCGAGACCTCGGAGATCAGGATCTTTGAAACCCATCACAGCACCGTTGGTTGTATCGTTGTCATTGCCACTGGAGCCTAGCATAGGTGATCCCCACGATGAATCCTTGAAAGGAGGGATCGTAGCTTTTGGCACGGCGACCTGTAAGCTGATCCAACGCGAATCTCTCGCATTGATAGCTGAATCTAGAACCAGATACAGCATCACTGTGGAAAGAAACATACCTCTTTCCTGGCTGTCGCAAAATAAACACCGTATCCCTGGATGGGATGCTTTCATCAGGTGTTGCTGACGACTGGGGAACCGCGCACAGTTGCGATTCATTTCGGATTATTGCGTTAAATAGCCACCATTTCAGTCAATTGCTGAATGATGCCATACTGTAGTTTGTTTAGACCGGTGGTATTATTTAAGAGATATTCGTCATCTTATTCCTGCGCGAGAGCTGAAACTCTCTCGAAGAGCATTCTTCGAATGCCCCAAGGCAAGCTCCCCCGGCTTTCATTGCATGCTTGGGTTTGGTGCAGATCTCTGATCTGCTTTGGGCTTCAAGACTGAAAGGCCGAAGATCGCAACCAAGCTGGTGAACTTGTTATATAGCCTGTCGATAGCCATCAGCTCGCATAGTCATCCTTCTGCTCTTCAGTGAAGTTGTAGTATCCACTGTGGGAAGGGGTTCCTGAACTTTTATAGTAGTTACCCCTCTAGGCGTGCGGATTGTACGCGGGTCTCGCATTTTTATTGAAGCCTCTTGATGAATCAGGCCAGAGTTCAGAGGGCGCCGGGGAGGGACGCAAATAAGAAAGTGTATACCATTGATGGAAGAAGAGAGATGTAGATTCCAGAGGGGTTAGGGGAGTGAGGTGATATATATGCCTACGAAGAGCAGCTCTTTCACCACAACTGATATGAAGAAGTGAATGAACAGGTCTACAGTGAATATGATAGAACATGTGAATGTCAAGTATTTATCATGTAAAGCTGCAATCATTGAATGACGTTACTGTCATTCTGATATGCTTTCTGTTTCCCCACATCGCATTCCATTAGTATTCTCCAACTCCAACACTCTCCCCATCTCTCGGGCCATACCACTCCGGACATTCTACTTGTGACAAGCCAATTGACACTGACTCGGCACTGATTTATAATGTTCTCGGCCTTTGACCGGCTCACTCACATACGTAGAACGCTGTGACTCACCCTAGATACGCCCGGCACGACACTGCGTTGCAACTCATCGTCCATCCAATCCATCCCATAACTCCAGCAGACTGCCGTGGGGGTGGGCAGTCCCCATCTGGTCAGCCGGGACTAGACTCTATCGACTGAAAGAATTTTCTTACGTCCACTCAGGTCCCTTCTTTGTTGCTTGAATAAGTGTGCAGGAGTGTATATATATCCGCCCTTGACGCGCTCTGCTGGATTGATTGCGCATCCAACACCATCTCATTCATTCCTAGACAATGAATCTCATACAAAGGCCCCCAAGATATGTCATCGCCAGTATCCTCTGCTCTTGCGGAGGGTTATTGTTTGGGTAGGGTGTCTCCATGATACATCATGCTCTGCAGTAAGATTATATTGACAAAATAAACAGGATGGACACCGGCGTCATTGGCCCTGTCACTGTTATGGACAGCTTCGTGTCGGAGTTTGGGAGCCAATCTGCATCCGTCCACGGACTAATAGTCTCGTCAATCCTGATTCCAGCGGCTGTATCGTCCTTCTTCGCAGGATACTTGGCAGATAAGCTAGGCAGGCCGACAGGAATCAGCATTGGGGCTTTGATCTTTGGTATCGGCGCTGCTATCGAAGGTGCAGCGGCCCAACTCGCCATGTTCATTGTCGGGAGGTGCATTGAGGGTATAGGCGAAGGTTTGTACCTGGGTACGCTGGTTGTGTACGTGAACTACCTTAGCATTCATTCCATCGCATTAAACTAACTGAATACAGGTATATCTGCGAGATCTCCCCAACGAGCGTCAGAGGCGCATTAGCCACTGGTCCGCAATTGCTCATCACTCTCGGTCTAGTGATCGGCTTCTTCACCTGCTACGGAACCGCGCGTCTCGAGTCTTCCCTCTCATGGCGCACACCGTACCTCATCCTCGCATGTCTCTCCGTCCTCTTCTCAGCCGCCTCGTTCCTCTTCCTCGTCCCGTCACCCCGCTGGCTGACCCTCCACGGCCGCCACGAGGAAGCCGCAAGAACGTGGGACCTCCTCGGCGTGGGCCAAGCCGAGCGTGAGAAGGTGGAAATTGAACAGACCAGACAAGCCAGGACCCAAACCCTCCTCCCCGCCGGCCCAGCAACCACTCTAAACCCCGACCTCACCACACACACCTCCACCCCGCCGCAACCCCCCCTCCAACCAGCCAGCCACAAGCTCCTCGACATCTTCTCCAAGGACGTCCGCGCCCGCACCGCCCTCGCCGTCTTCCTCATGGGCTTCCAGCAGCTCTCCGGCATCGACGGCGTCCTCTACTACGCCCCGCTGCTCTTCGAACAAGCCGGCCTCGCCTCCTCGAGCGCCACCTTCTTCGCCTCGGGCGTCTCCGCCCTCGTCATCTTCGCCGTGACCATCCCGGGCCTCCTCTGGGCCGACCGCTGGGGCCGCAGACACAGCATCATCGCCGGCGGCATCGGCCTCAGCACCACCATGTTCCTCATCGGCGCCCTCTACGCCGCCGACGCCGTCCACCCCGCCTCCGGCCCCGGCCGCTGGTTCGTCATCGTCGCCATCTACCTCTTCACCGTCATCTTCTCCCTCACCTGGGCCATCGGCATCAAAATCTACGCCGCTGAGATCCAGCCCCAGCGCACCCGCGCCTCGGCCACCGGTCTCGCGCACGGCAGCAACTGGGTCACTAATTTCCTGGTCGCCCTGACGACCCCCATCCTCCTCTCCAAGAGCAGTTTCGGCGCGTACTTTCTCTTCGGGGGGTGTACGCTGCTGATGGCGTTGGTTTGCGCCATCTTCATGCCGGAGACCAAGGGGAAGTCGCTCGATGAGATCGAGGAGGCGTTCAAGTCCAAGTCGCTCGGCTCGCATTTTGCCAAGGCCATCAGGCCTATTTCCCGGTCATCGGATTGATGGCTCTCTTTTCTTCAGCTACACTGTAGAAGAGTCGTGGGAAGAGACCAGAAGGTCGACGCATAGACAATCACGTACCGTACAACCTAAATGCGAGGCTACTGTGACGTACTGAAGATTGATACAGGCTAATTGAAATCGACAATTATTGAATTAGAATCTAGACTGGTTAATGACTAGGACGTACTGGCACTCTCATCTCTTCTTGAGCCTTCTGTCCTGTACACTCCACTCCATCTTCAGGTTCTAGATTATATCGGGCTCTGTGCACTAAATAGTGGACATGGCTAGAGCACCGGCGGGAAATATACATAGAGTCGGATATGCATGCAGATGGAATCAAATTCTGGCAAGCTGGAGAATGTAGGAAAAGGGAGTAATGAGTGAAATGGATTATGTGCAGAAATGAAGGGCCATTAAGACTTGGAGGTCAAGAAATCCACCGCCTGAATCGGAAAGATAAATGTCAATTCAGTCTCTTTTGCAAGCTGAAATAGTCGGTGTACTCACCTTGTCAATGTTGTAGTCGAACTTCTCTAATGCAGCGAGCGATTCATCGCGGGGAAAGCCCATGCCCGTAAGCCGTTGTAGGATCTGGTCATCTTCCACAGAATCTGTCTGAAGGGCCCATCCGGGCGGTTTGCTATCCCCGGACGCTGCCGGTTGCGATGCCCCATTGGTACCGGTGGGGGCGCCTTGAGTATTGTCCAGAGGCGCAAAGAGGGTCTCCCAGTCGTGCGTTGCCGGTTGCGAGTTGGAAGCTGCAGGTGATACGGTGGTATTATGACCTAAGGCGTTCACCTGCTGATCAAAGTTGAAGAAATCAGAGTGGTTGGCATGCCCAGGGCTGCCACTGGGTACTGCCATCTTCTGCTGTGAGGGCGCGTCAAAAGAGAAGTCGAAATCTGCAGTGTTTTTATTGTCAGACGGCTCAAAGTCGTCGTCATCATCATCGTCTTCCGCTTCTTTCGCGGGGGCAAGATCCATTCCAGCAAAAGCAGCGTCAAAATCGGGAGCACTAGGCTTGGTACCGGCCGAAGCAGGTGCAGCGACGGGAACATTCCGCTGAGGCTCCCCACCAACAATCGGGGCACCAGTGCCTGCTTCTACTGAATGAGGGGCATCCGGAGCGACTGTGGGGTCTTCGCGGTTTGGCAAAAGGCCGTTGAATTCAGGTGGCATACCGCCAGACGCTTCCTTCTCTGCGCTCTCATCATATTTTGGTGGGCTTTTCTGGGCCTCGGCGGGAGGAGGTTGACTAGTCGGAGTTACAGACCCTGGCGCAGGAAACGCCGCCAATTGAGACGGCTCAATCGAGTCAGTCTTAGACGTCTGCTGCTCTTGGGGTGGAACAGCCGGCGTGAAATTGTCGTCAAAACCCAAGGGTGCCTCGCTAGCGGAGCTGTCGTCGTCGTCGTCGTCATCATCATCATCATCATCGAGCTCACGTATCGGCGGGAACTCGGAGAACGCGGCAGGAGCTGTACCATTAGGCTTGGGTGCCTCAGCACCCTGCTTCATAGCAGCAAAAGCTTCTTCGAAATCATTCGCGTTCTGAGACTGTGACCGCTGATGTGCTGGACCGCCAAACAGCTCATCGAAGCTGGGGTCCTTTGCTGCCGTCTGGTTCTCGTTGGTGGTAGGCGAAATATCTGCTGTTACCTCTTTTCCCGCGGCGACTGGAACTTCGGGGAAGCGCTTCAACTCTTCAAACTCCTCGAAGGGAGACCGTACTTCCCCCTGTTCTGTAGATGTAGAGGGGTTTTCGGTGGCACCTGCTGGGGCTGGAGTCCCTACAGTTGACGACTCAGGACCACCGAATCTGCTGGCTGGTGGAGATGGCTTAGTAGATGAGGTCATAGACTGTGTCTCGGCCAAGGGGAGAACGTTAGGGGTGAACTGCCGAGACTGCGGTGGTTCAGGTACGGGTCCAACGGAAGGTGGCGGTGATACGGAGGGGGTCGGTACCCCGGATGTAACAGGAGAGTGGAGTGAAGCCTGCCGAGAGTCGGCGCGGAATGAAGTGGGAGGTGGGGGTGTAGCAGTGGTTGGAGGAGCAAAGGCAGTGCCAAAGAGGCTGTCAAAAGCACGCTGCTGTTCGCTCGAAACCTGGGGGGCCACTGCCTGGCCGTCGCTGGATGCCGTAGTAGTCCGTCTGAAGAACGGGTTGTTGTTTTGACTGGCTGTGGACAGAGCAGGGCTGGCGAGTGCGGGGCCAGCGCTTGCAGATGCCGCGCTTTCGTCGGATCCTTGAGGTTGTTCCTTCGAGAGTGTATCCATCTCCTCCTGGATCCTGTCGCGTTCACCTTCCACCGTAGCTAATTGCTTCTTATTGATGGCGACGAGGCCCTTTTGCTGCCGAGCGTCAGAGCGCGCTTTCTCGAGGGCAGGCTTAAGCTGGGCGACAGCCGCATTAGCGTGGCGGATTTTCTCTTTCAAGCTCGCATTTTCCTGCTGGTCGGCGGTCAAAGCAGCAGCGACTTGGTCATATTGAGTCTGCAAATCTTGCCTGCTGCCCTCGATCAACGCATATTCTTGTTGCAGCCTCTTGGTCTCCGCCTTGGAGGCATTCAGTCGCTCCTCAAGAGCTTTGAAGCTCTTGACCTCTTGCTCGTACATCGCTCTGGCTTGCGCTAACCGAGTCTCAAAGTCACGCTTTTGCTGAGATGTCTGAGACAGCTCGTGCTCCGCTGAAGTGCGCTTCGTCTGAACGTTTTGCATCTCCTTGGCGAGCGAGCCAATCTGGTTGGACAGGTTTGCCAGCTCGGCCGTTTCTTGTGTGAGTTTATTGGACTCTTCAGGGTCGTTATCACCTAGAAGGTCATCCGATGGAGGCGGTGGTGAACGGACAGTTGGTGGGGCACCGGCTGAAGCGCCAGTTATCTGAGGCTGGAGACTCTGGCCAAATGAGGAAGTCGGAATGAAAGGCTTGAAAGTCGTCGAATTGACTGGAGGCGACGCTCTGGAGGTTGGTGAACCCGGCGTTTGGAACGGCGTGTTGGAGCCTCCTGTAGACTGGGGTAGCTGTGAAGGAGCTGCAGATGCGGGCGGCGCAGAAAATGCATCAAGACCGAAGAGATCATCCGCAGCAGATCGGACACTTAAAGGCGGCGGCGCGGCAGGAGCTGCGACTGGGGCCGGCACTGCCTGCGCCGTGCCAGGCCGCCGCATACTAGGAGGAATCAAAGCGGGAGGAAGCGTCTGCGGCAAGGGCTCCTTTCCTGTACGCTGTGAACGGACCAGATACATTGCAACCGCAAATTCGTCCTTTGTCAATTGCCCGTCAGCGTCAATATCCGCGAGATCCCAAATCTGAGCTAGGACTTCTTCAGGCAATTGAGCTTTCATGAAGAATCCTACAGCCTGGTCACCAGTGATGACGCCCAACTTCGCAGTATCGATCGTCCCAAATATGGTATCGAATTGCGCCTTCTCTGCTGGAGTGATAAGCCAATCTCCGCCCGTTGACTGGGCAGTGAGCGGTGTTCCAAACTGGGACCTATTCAAAGGGCTTTGAGTCCGCTGAGGTCCGGTGAATTGTCGCGGAATGGCAGGCACCGGAGGAACGTCGAGGCCAGGTCGGGCCCCCACGGAGGTCCGCACCGGGCCCCTTCTCGCTGCCGCCTCATACAAGCCAGGAGGTAAGGTCAGAGGGATACCCCTCATGGCGCCCGACTTGTAGGAGGCCAAAAGGTGCATAGCGATGATGAATTCTGTGGCATCGAGGGCGCCTCGTTGCTTTGTGTCTGCTAGGTTCCAAATGCGGCCAAGGATCTCGTTCGGTAACCGTGCGCGTTCAAAGATCTGCTTGGCGATGTCGCCTGTAATGCAAGCAATATTAGCCTCAGAGCTATATATCTCCCCATTTTGAGACGCAGGATGCATGCCTGGGATAACCCCGCTCCTCGACACATCAGACTTCTCAAATAGCGCTGTGAATTTATTGACATCTTCCGGGTTGAGCGGAGGGACTCGAATTGGCCCACCAGCTGGCGGTGGGCTAGTCGCACCAGCGTCGCGAGAGGTGGGAGATGTAGGCTCAACGACGACGCCCTCAAACCTAGGTAGCGGCCCAGCTAGAGAAAAGAATTCAAAATCAGCGCTACTTCCCCTTTTTGCATCCGTAGCCAAATGATTCTCAGGATACACTCACGTTGCAGGGCCAGCTCCTCTGTAGGCGCGCGACCAGCCTGGGCGTGTCCGATAAGACGTAATACGACACCGAAGCCAGACGGAGTCAAGAGCCCCCTGTTCTCCTTATCCGCGATCTGCCATATCTACACATTGTCGGTGACCAGTCAGCAAGACATGCGCGAGAAGACTCAATCCATGGAACAGAACTTACCAATCCGAGTGTCTCCGGTGCAAGCTTGGTTTTCTCGAAGAAAGGAACGGCAATCTCGCCGGTGATGACGCCGAGGTTGGTGGTATCAGCGGCCTGAAAGAGCTGGTAAAACACCCGTTTCTCCTCAGGTGTCAAATTGAGATTTGGATGGCGTGCTGCTAAACAATCGAAGAATTCCGTCAGTTTCGTCGCGCTTGGAGAAGTTGCAGTTCGATCGGGGGGGTTCGGTTGTTCTCCTGAGGAGTTCGCCTAACGACAGGCTGGTCTACCATTGCGGTGGGTGAGACTTACCACTGTCAGCCATGTTGGTAGCTCAGGAGGAGTGCGCCTCCTCTTCCTTCGGTCAAATTTCGCGGATACCCGTTGAATTGTGGCGTATGAGGTGGTGGAGCGGAATGCCGTGGACTAGAGTGAAGATGATGCCACGAGCATGGAGTCAAATTGTAAGGGGAATGGGGGAACGGGAGTAGACGGGATGACGGAATCGAGGGGGAAGCGGACTTATACGGACGGCTCGATTATAGTAAGAGAAAAATGTTGCAGGAAAGTAGGAAGAGATGAGGGAATAATAGTCTTGAGGACAAGCAGGCAACCAAGAAATGGAGCTTCGGACTTTGGAGGAGAGGTTGAGACTAAGGTAACTGTAGAGTGGAGGTGAGGGAGGGAGAGATGATGTCCTTCTCCTTAGCTTCCTTTCGGGTTCCGGGGGAGTAACCCAACCATAGCTCGAGGTCCCTGAACAGCTACCTAGTTATTCCCTGCCTATGTCACTCTGGATCCACCATTTTGTATACCTTCACCTTCACCTTCATCAATAATTCCTGAACAGAGGAAAAGAAGTCTTCAACTGCCATGACAACTTACTGTTGTCTGCTTGTTTTCTCTTCTTGTCCACTTCTCGTTCCCCTCTCTCTCTCTCTCTCTCTGTAATTGTAACCTGCTTGATCATTGCTCTTGACAAACCTCCAATGGATTCTTTTTTCCCTAAATTAAAAGATAATTACAATCTCGTATTTCCAAGTGCTGTTTATATGAACGAGCGGGTAAAATTTCATCGCTGCTTCGGGATATTAAAAATATATCAGACAAAGAAAAACATAGTCTGTGAGCTAAGCCAATCTTCTTCTCCTATGTATTTGCATGCAACCTGAGTCGCGCAGGTCCATGGTATATCACCTTGGCAAACGCCTGTCCCCAATACAACAGCACAGAAACAACCAGAAGCAGCCTCTGCATCAAATCGGACGGCCAAACTCTACAGCCATTCTTCGGAATCCTGCCGAGTGATGACGTCCATCTAGTACTCAGCCTCGACTTCCTCATCCATCGAGTCGGTGGCAACCTCCTCATAATCACGCTCGAGGGCAGCCAGGTCCTCACGAGCCTCGGAGAATTCACCTTCCTCCATACCCTCACCAACGTACCAGTGAACGAAGGCACGCTTGGAGTACATGAGGTCGAACTTGTGGTCAAGAGCAGACCAGGCCTCGGCGATGGCAGTGGTGTTGGACAGCATGCAGCTACATTTCCGTTAGTTTACTCTCATTTTTTTTTTACCCTTTTTTGGCTCTTTCTTCGTAAGAAAAAGAAAACAGGAAAGGGGACATACACAGCACGGTCGAGCTTGGCAAGGTCACCACCAGGGACCTGCTGAGGAGGCTGGTAGCAGATACCAATCTTGAAGCCAGTAGGGCACCAGTCGACGAACTGGATAGTGCGCTTGGTCTTAAGGGTAGCGACAGCCGCGTGGGTCTCCTTGGGCACAACATCACCACGGTAGAGCAGGCAGGTGGCCATGTACTTGCCATTGCGGGGGTCACACTTGACCATCTGGTTGTTGGGCTCGAAGCAAGCAGAGGTGATCTCGTTGACAGAGTTGGACTCGTAGGAAGCCTCGGCAGCAGAGACGACGGGAGCGTAGGCGACCAGGGGGAAGTGAATACGGGGGTAGGGGACCAGGTTGGTCTGGAACTCGTTCAGATCGACGTTCAGGGAGCCATCGAAACGCAGGGAGGCGGTGATGGAAGACACAACCTGAGCGATCAGGCGGTTCAGGTTCTCGTAGCTGGGGCGCTCAATGCCGAGGTTGCGGCGGCAAATGTCGTAGATGGCCTCGTTGTCGACCATGAAGCTGCAGTCGGAGTGCTCCAGGGTAGTGTGGGTGGTCAGGATGGAGTTGTAGGGCTCAACAACAGAGGTAGCGTTCTGAGGAGCAGGGTAGACGCAGAATTCCAGCTTCGACTTCTTGCCATAGTCCACAGAGAGACGCTCCATCAGCAGAGCACCGAAACCGGAACCGGTACCACCACCGAAAGAGTGGAAGACCAGGAAACCCTGGAGACCAGCGCAGTTGTCGGCGACCCGGCGGACCTTGTCGAGAACCTGGTCGATCATCTCCTTTCCAACGGTGTAGTGACCACGAGCATAGTTGTTAGAGGCGTCCTCCTTGCCGGTGATCATGTTCTCGGGGTGGAAAAGGCTACGGTAGGTGCCGGTGCGGACCTCATCGACCACATTGGGCTCGAGATCACAGTAGATGGTACGGGGAACATATTTGCCCTGGCCTTTAGGAGGTTGTCAGATCATTAAGGTCGTAACTAGGAGAGGGAGTGGACAGCTAACGTACCAGTTTCGGAGAAGAAAGTGCTGAATCCGTGGTCGGGGTCGGCCTTCTTGCGCTCCTCGGTCAAGTAACCATCGGGCTGAGAGACAGCAAAATGTCAGTCGATCTACGCGTCGATATGAAGAGATAACATCCAATTGTGATGAAAATCAGGATGTTGTCCCACGTACCTGAATGCCGTGCTCCAAGCAGTAAAGCTAGAATCAAACGTCAAAGTTAGCCTGACCCTCCAATGTCCAGTCATCCATGTACGTTCCATCCTCCATTCCCTTGAGTGCAATATCACTCGGTGAACTCATGGTCAATGCATACCTCCCAGCAAGAGTTGGCGATCTGGCAACCAGCCTGACCGACTGTATCAAGGGAGAAAACATTAGTAACACGAACCGCAGAAAACAAACAACACGTCAAACGAAGAAGATAGAAGGAAGACAAACCGTTCAAACTGATGACTTCTCTCATTTTGTCGGATTCGATTGACTAAATTCCGTTCACAAAGGATAAATTAAGAAAGGTGGGTGGAGGAGGGAGGAATGAAGGACGAAAAAAACCCAAGACGATCTGCTGTATGGGTGTTTCAGGGGTAAGTAAACGGACACCACAAAACATAAAATGTGGTGGGCAGGGCAGCACACAACATCGAAGAGGGGGGAGAAAGGGGGAATACTAACCCTGGGGTTTGAGAGGTAATTGAAGAAATCTGGAGAAGATGAAGGGAGGGGAGAAAGTCGAGGTCTAAGAATGATCAATTCGGACGAAGACTGACCAGACCTGATCAATTTGTTGTGGACACTCTTTTGGGATGGTCTTCAATAATAAATGCGCTGTCACCCCCCAAGCTGGCGTTCTTGTTCGTTGTTGATCCGTCGGTTGGGTCGCGTTGGGTTCCACCGCCTGTGATTGGCTGATCGAGGCCCGTGACCGCCAGATGCCCGAGTCTCGCTCGCAGTCCCGTGACGAGGATCAACAATGCTTATTCAGCGTTGATAAGAATCACGTGAACGCGTGACGGCATCCATATGTATTGAAGATTGATATCCAACCAACAGCCTCAACTCGATACGTTTCATCTAAAGATCGCTTCGATAGAAGGTATGTAGTCCATCTCGTTTGGCAATTTGATAGTACTGCTGTAGTACCAGCCAATTAATTGATGCGGTGTTACCAATTGCCGCGGAGAGTTCCAAAAAATGGCAATGTAACACAGGCATTGAATAGCTCTGCATATGATATAGAATGTATTCAAGATATGGCGTCCTTGCGCTCTATGCTGTACTCTGATCTTCTAATCGTATCCCTAGAGGAATTTGCATTGATCCAGACACCATATGCTAACATTTTTTCAGATCTACTCTATCTCATATCAAGCCAACATGGCCATATAAACCACTTTCACAACCGCCAATACATCTGAGTGAACCAATAGTACACTCACCATGAAGAATCTTAAACCCCTTGTTCTCCTCTCTCTCTTCCCCCTCGTCGTTGCCAACGTCGAGAAAACCATCTTCGTCGCCCCACAACCATCACCCATCCCCTCAACAGATTCCACCCTGGACGACCTGGGCCTCGAGCGACTCTCCCCCTCATATCCAACCCTACGAACCTACCTCAATGCCTCATTCCCTACCCCAGACTCCCCAGGAACAGACTCGTGGTACTTCCTCGAAAACCTGACGCCAGGCCAACGCTACGAAGTCCGGATATGCTATCTGGCAACTGTACGCCCCCATCCTTCCCCCTTTCAGGTACACGCTAACACCAACAAAAGCAACCCACGTCCTTCACGCTGGACACATTCACGCTCTCCAGCACAATGGAAGACCCATCCCTCCTCTCCGCAATCAGCCTCCACTCGTCAGCCCGCCTCGCAGCCCTCGACGACTCAACCTCGGCCTCAAACCCCCTCGTCCGCAACGGCAAACGGCAACCCCCGCCCTCGTCCAGGGACCCAGCTCCAACCTCCGACTCGGTGCTGTTCCTGCGGATCCGCGCCGCAGCGGATTACTTCTCGCTGGACAAGGCGCTCATGGAGAATGTGCCCCCTGTGTTGGCGGATGTGATCCTCGATCCGTTCCTGTGGAATGTGTTCCCGCGGTCTCTGGTGCCCACGGCGGGGTATGTGTGTGTTGTGGGGGCGGTTGCTGTCTTGCTTGCAAGGTGGGTGATGGGGGCGTTTGGGGGGATGATAGAGCAGGAGGTTGGTGGTAGTACGACTGTTGATGGAGATGAAAAGAAGAAGCGGTAGGTTGGGAGCTCCGTTGAGCTGCATGACTCGAGTTATAATTTTTGTATACTATGCTACTGTGCATTTCTTATGCTAGACCTAGGGAAGATAATCTTGATATGGTCAGCTTTGCAACTACTCCCTCGGTATGTCAGGGTCGACTATAAGGCATTATTTTTCGAATTACTGGTTGGAGTTGACGACTTTGCAGAGTAGATTGTATTATTCAACAGGTATGACTAGACAGAGCACAATGTTTAGAAAACATGATAAATCACAGGCATCAGGGGGAATAAAAAGGGCATCAACAAAGATGGGTCCTGAAGCATCATGAAAATTATTAGGCACATGAATGGTTCTAGATCATTTCAGAAAAGTCTCGCTCGAACCAAAAGTCTACTGCTGGAAAATGCCACAAGTGCATCCATCGTATTCACAAATCGTGTCACAACAT